TAAGTGTGTCGCAGGATACCCTCTAGGTGATAGTTCTTGATTACTTTTTGATAAATAATTCGTTCTTATTGCGAAATGGGAGCACTATTTATCAACCTATAATAAAAAAACGTGAGGAAATTCTGTCTTTTTTAAAGACAAAAATTTTTGAGGCGAAATCCCCGAAAAGACGTTTGTAAAAAAATGTATTTTTTAGTTTCAGGTTTATGTGGTTATTGAAAGTATAATTACAAACAGAACAAGAGACAAATTAGAATTACTGAGATTAAGCGGTTTTAAGCTAACAGCTGACCAAGATGTTTATTGAATTAGTTAGAAACTATTTTTAAAAATTATTCATTAAATACATTCATTTTTATAACATTAGTATAGGTAAGGACTAATGAATGCCAAACGACTGCACCTACACACTTTCATGTACACCAAAGACGAAATATTGCTGAGAAAAAGCTGAGAAGAGTTAGTTTGGTAATCTGTGATCTTGTCTCTGACTACAAACGATAAATTGTGTAAGGCGGCTCCGTAAACGCGAGTTATCAGCCTCCTAGTTAAAAAGCAATACTGGTATAGGTAGATATTTTGAAATTGACCGCGCCTATTCATGGGCAAAGGGTGGCAACGTCGCAAGGATTATGTTCTCCTATTAGCTGCTGCTGAAAAGGTGTGTGCAGAACTCACCTAGCCTTAGCAGATACGGGGGATGCGTTGGAATTGGCGGTACCTGCCCGAGGTACCATGGAGATGAATCGGGACAGCGCGGAGGCCCTCACGCGAACGATGGTGTTTCTCGTGTGACTGCCAGTCAGTCTAAGATTGCACACGTCTAGTTCGCCAGCACTTGAACTACCTGCAAACCATTTAAATGCAACGGTGAGATGGAGGTGTTGAGTGGATGGAGATAGAGGCGGTTTTACCGTTGCTGTGTCCTGGACCCGACTCGGGGCTCGAGGGCGGTGTCAGAGTGGTTGGGTTTCTTGTCACCAGCCTCAGTTGCAAGGTGTCGCCGTTCCGGTGGTAGGAGTCGTCGTCCTCCTCTTCCTCTTCATCGTCGATCGGTTCCTGCAAGCAAAACTCCGTACTCATCTGCCTGCAAGTTGGCGCCTCCCTCGATTTACCTGTTTTACCAAAACTGCACAACTGAGCGCGCCGTCCCAGGAGATGGGCGAACTCGCACTGCTCAGTCCATCCAGTCGATGGTCGGCAAACTCCTCCAGGCTGGTCACTTCGTACCAGCTGCATCTGGCGCTGTCCGGGATTTTTTTGTAGGATTGCATTTTGGGCTCGTCTTTGAGGTAGCGTTCCATCTCGTAGCATGTCTGGAAATTACTCACATTTTAGACGAGAAAGTGGTTATCGATGGGGGCGGTTGAGATGACAATATGGACCAGGTGTAGACCACAAAACGTGCATAGTATCTGGATTAAAAACCGACATTTTTGGGAAAAAAGAGGAGTTTTAATCCAAGATTGTACGTTTTGTGGTCCAGACGCGCYGTTTTACGCCTCGCAAGTCAGAGCAAGCAACTTTGGTAGCTACCGTCCAAAATCACTTAAGTTTGSAAATTCRTCATTGAATCTGAAGCTCTAAAGGCATTTTAATGAAATCTTGCGCTATTTAACGCTGAAAYCGCCAACTTTCTTGCTGTTTTTGTTTTCGAAAAAGACACATTTTGGCATGACACACAGTTGGCTATGAATTTTCAAGTATCAAAACCGTTAAAAAAGCTTGAAAATGTTGTGGATTCAACCTTTCCAAACACATTAAGAAGGTTTTTTGCTTTTTGTTGATAWAATTGGCCGCTTTCTGCTTGTTCCAGTTTTAGAAAAAAGCTCAGTTTTCRGAATAATWGCAGTCTTTCTAGTCTATAATGGATGGAACAAGTTTGAAAAATATTTGAAAAATCCCTRAAGGAGCCACCAATTCGAAACTTTCACATCACTTTTARYGGGTTTCGGGATAAATAATCATAAAACCGGCTACKGTTTAGCTGCTTTAGTTTGACCAAAACTTGCGTTTTTTTATGGCTGCAAAAGCCGGCGTTTYTGATATAATCATTTAASWTTRAAAATTCACAAAAAAATCCCTAAAGTTGTCATAAACTCGAAACTTTCTCAGAAATTTAAGTGAACTTTGCAGTATTTAACTAAAAATCCGCAACKCTGTCGCARCATTAGTTTTSGAAAAATTTACAGTTTTTAGGGCGATKGCAGAAAACCGATGTTGTCTTTTCATATGAAAGTTTAAAAAKTCGTCAAAAAATCGCTGAAGACGTCCTTAATGCCAAACCTTYCCAACGACTTAAGTGGGTTTTCTGCTAACGAACTCTACAATCCGTTACTTTTTGGCTTGTTCTCTTTGAGARAAAATTGCATTTTTTTGAAATGACCGCARAAAGTCGCTGTWGGATAAAATCGCCTGRAAGTACAGAAATGCGGTAAAAAATCCTTCAAGAAGTCATCAAGTCGAAACTTAAGGCACTTTGAGTGAGCTTTGCGCTATTTAATCCTAAAACCGGTARCTTTCGTGCTGTTTCGGTTTTSGAAAAAATCACATTTTTCCGGAACAGTGCTGAAGCTGAACTACTATGAATTTTCAAGTTTCAAAACAGTTAGAAAAAAATTTAAAACATCGGGGAATCAAAAGTTTCAAAACACATTAAGAAGGTTTTTTGCTTTTTGTTGATAAAATTGGCCGCTTTCTGCTTGTTCCAGTTTAAAAAAAAAGCTCAGTTTTCGGAATAWTTGCAGTCTTTCTAGTCTATAATGGATGGAAYAAGTTTGAAAAATMYYTGAAGAATCCCTGARCCACCAATTCKAAACTTTCACAKCACTTTTAGTAGGTTTCGGGATAMATAATCATAAMACCGGCTRCTGTTTAGCTGCTTTAGTTTGACCAAAACTTGCGTTTTTTATGGCTGCAAAAGCCGGCGTTTTTGATATACTTCATYATTTAASWTTGAAAATTCATMAAAAAATCCCKAAAGTTGTCATAAACTCGAAACTWTCTCAGAAAWKTAAGWGAACTTTGCASTATTTAACTAAAAATCCGCAACGTTCTCGCAGCATTASTTTTCGAAAAATTTATARTTTTTAGRGTGCTTGCAAAAAACCGATGTTGTCTTTTCATATRAAAGTTTAAAAAGTCGTCAAAAAATCGCTGAAGACGTCCTTAATTCCAAACCTTCACAACCACTTAAGTGGGTTTTCTGCTAACGAACTCTACAATCCGTTACTTTTTGGCTTGTTCTCTTTGAGAGAGGTAAAAAATCCTTCAAGAAGTCATCAATTCGAAACTTTTAAGACACTTTGAGAACTTCTGTCTGTTTTCGTTTTGGAGAAAACCTCAGTTTTCGAAATAACTGTAAAACACTTTTATGGTCTGTAATGGCATAAGTGTGAAAAATCATTGAAAAATCCCTGAAGGAGCTATCAATCCGAAACTTTCACAGCACTTTTAGTGGGTTTCGGGCTAAATAACTAAAATACCGAGTACTGCTTAGCTGCTTCAGTTTCAGGAAATTTGAGTTTTTCTAAAATGGCTGCAGATGATATAATTATTTAAGTTTAAAAATTCATAAAAAAATCCCTAAAGTTGTTATCAATTCGAAACTGTCAGAAAACTAAGTGAACTTTGCACTATTTAGCTAAAAAATCGACAAGGATCTCGCAGCATTAATTTTCCAACAATTTATAGGTTTTAGGGTGATTTCAGAAAATCGACGTTGCCTTTTCATGTAAAAGTTTAAAAATTCATCGAAAAATCCCTGAAAGCCTCAGCAATTCGAAACCTTTACAACGAATTAAGTGGGTTTTCTGCTAACGAACTCTACAATCGGCTACTTTTTGGTTCGTTCACTTTGAGAGAAAATTATATAAAGTAGCTCGAAAGTCCGG